TAAACATAAAGATGATCTAAAACCAATTTGATTTTTAATCTTTTAAAACATTTTACATGTTCTTAACTGATAATTTATGTCTGTTTTTTTATATATTTAACATATGAAATAGGATTCACAGAACACTATCGATTTTCTATAGTGAGACCACAGCAGAAGTTTTTTTCCTTTGATACTCTGTCTTTGATTGAAAATCTGGAAAAAGAAAGGAAGATGTGCTACCCCTCTCCCTAATTTTTGTGTGTACCTTTCAGTTTGCGCTACCTACCTCTGTAAACAATAGGAATGTTACTGCACGATGTGGAGGGAACTAAAAATCATGTCAAGAAGCTGAGAACTATATGAGAATACTGGATAGGAGAATAGGGTTTGTGGGCTATATTTTATGTTTACCTGATTTAAATAAATATAGTATATAGCCCTGACCATAATAGATTTTAAAAGAGATGCCTTTTAAAGGTAATGCTAATGTAGTAAAATGTGTAATACTTTTTTCTGCAGCGTCAGCTTTAGTATCATGAAGTATTAACCACTCACAGCAATTCTGTAACATCTAAACACTATATACCAACATCTAAGCAACAGCAACATAATATATCACAAATCGCTATACAGTGTAACACCAAACTAGCTATGCATTACACATGTTACATATAACAGTTACATAGTATTAAATAATATAGTTGCTAAAGTGCTAATTGTAAAGGGCACTGCAATGAAACAAACTATTCTAGCAGCTTAGACAAGGTTCACACTTTCTGTTTCCATTTCCATGCGTTATTTTAACTCGACTTTTGGTGCATGTCGATGCATGCTTTGAACAACTGTGTTGAAACACATTTTTAGTGTGTTTTTCATGTTTGTGTTTGGCAATAAAGAACTATCTAGGCTTGTTAACAGGGGCTAGAAAGACATGAGGATGCATGCAAAAAGCATTATACATGCATTCTCGTGTGTTACTATTAACTTCTATGCACCTCAATATGCACCAAAGTGGACAAAAATGGACATGGGCTACTTTTCAAAAAGCACTCTGTGATGCACTGTACAGATGGAAACAGGTTCAATCTATAATTATGCCTTTGATGCATTTTCGCAAGTTCAAACGCTTTCATTAAAATGCAAATGTATGAGTAGGGTCATGTGTCTGTTAAATATGTTGAGATATCCTTGATCTTTTTTTTAACAATTTTTTTTTTTAGAGAAAACAATTAAATGTTGGCAACCCTGCAACAAAGTGACTATCCAAGTAGTACTGAGAAGCTCTAAAGTGCTGGGCCTTTTTGGAGAGAGTTTATACCTTCATAGATAGAAACTTATACTAGGTGTAAAATGTAATTTTCTAGTAAATAGCAATAAAGAAAAACAAAACAGCAAGCAATGGAGATATTGTATTCTAAATAGATCAAAGTAGATTAAAATGTTTGTAAAGCTTTTTGTTTTTCAATGAAATAATAAATATGTTTTACTTACCTGTTCTGTACAAAGCGCCCTCCAAACCTCCTCTTCTCGAGTCTCTTGCTGTGCTCTGGGCTCCTCCTCCTCCAGGTGCACCACCATAGGAAGCCATTTCTTATGGGGCGCTCCATTGGGCTTGCTCCTAAGCCTGGTTGTGTGCGTCTATTGACACACGCAGCACCGCTGAGCCCATCCCCCACTCTCTTCTCACAGGATTGGATTGACAGCAGCAGTAGCCAATGGCTTCCATTGCTGCCTCTGTGAGCAGAAAGGAGAAAGCCACTGCAGATGGCCACAGTGCTGGATCAAGATCTGACTTTACCTTGATGTAGACAATGCATTAAGGTTTAAAATGTCCAGCCTTTAGAACCACTTTAAATATAGTATATAGTTATCCAGTAAGACTGGTCAAAAGCATTGAGATTCTGGGTTTGTTTCTTTTTTTGGTATATTATCAATACTACTCTACCAGTCAAGACTTGTCAGTTTACCTACACTTTTACTGCAATTTTAAGTGTATTTCCACTTGTGCAGTCAATTTGGGTCAGGACCTACTAACATTGCTGCTCAACTTTTTAAGTGTTTTTAAACCAGCTACTTAAAGAAGCTTCCCCCTATGTAATGTTCAAAAGGAACTTTACCAGGTTATCCAAAAATTAAAAGTTAGCATTAGTTCACTACTGCACAACTACTGCACATGCGCAAGACCACCAATGTGGGGGGGACTGGCCAGAAGCCCACTGGGATGTGTAACATATCCCAGGAGGCTTTGGGGCAGACCACGCACTACTTTATACTTACTTAGGTAAGGAATGAAGAAATATTAGCAAGTACCTACTGAAAAAAATACTTTCTAGCAAAAAAAAAAAAAAAAACATTTTTAAATGGAACTAGGAGAGTTAAGGTGGCCATAGATGACTCCTTTTTTTTAGAAGGGAGGTGGATTGAGGAATACTCCCCGCTGGGACATTATGTTCTGACAGCAGGATGCCTCCACTGTCATAATAAACTGATCAGTGGCTACAGTTTGTTGGTTGTAGTTGCTGATCGACAATGTTTTCCAACATTCCTGCTCGACAGAAGTCGATCTAATGATCCACTTCTGCCTAACAGGGAAGGCCATACATAGATTGACCATATAAAGAAAAAAAAAATCTGTGCTTCCTAAAAATAAATCATGGAAATAATATTATGTGTTGCCACTAATGCGCTGTGGGAATGCACTTTGGATATTTTTATACATAGATAGTATATCAAAATTTGTCTAGTCCCTGCTGAACTGGATGAATTTCAGTCCATATATGGCCAGCTTTAGAATATTGGCATTTATTGTTTGTGAGTGTGCAGTGTGTAGTTAATGTCCACCTTAATTAACCCCGTATGTACTGGATTGCACCTAAAATAGTTATAGATCTTGAGGCTTGGATACTGCACTGCATGCTAATGAGTTAAAACTGACTCTGTCTCCAGTGTGTAGGTCTGAAATTGTTCAGAGTTGCTTAGAGTTCCATGTGTAAACCTGTTCCAAAGAAGCAAATGTAAAGGTATGTATTTTTTTTTAATTTTTGTTACATACGCTGTTTGAATGGGAACACAAAACAAACATTTAGCAGGGTTTTCTCAAAAGTGACCGCAGAGGTGGAAATGCACTTTTAGGAGACAATCTTTTGAGGATTGTGAGGTACACATCTTGGACAGAGAGGACAACTGGTTAAAAAAAGGCATGAAACAGGCCATCTACATCAAACTGGGACAATCATCCCAGAACAGATATTGGGGGCTTTCTATACCATCTATCTTCCACATATAATGCCACTTTATTATCTTTATTATATATCTTTATTACCCCTGGGAATTGATAACAATTCACAATGTTAGCCATGTAAATAGAAGAATTAACACCTATACAGATATCTTGTTACCTAGGATGGAATTATGTAACTAGAACAGAGTGATTCCACAACTTTTACATTTCCCTTCATCTACACAATCCATGTGATTGGATTAAAGTGTCTGTGCTATCTATGTGGATATAAATGCTGGGGTATTTCCCAACACATATTAGAGCTAAAAAAGTGACTTGGGGAAGCCACAAATCATCTTCAAAATCTGAGAAACCCACAGGAACCTGCTTCTGTTTTGTATTTAAGGGGATTTTTCACAGTCAAAGAAATTGGAAACACCTTTTGATGTGGGTGATGTTCCAACCAGCATTGGGCTATTAACCCTCAGCAATCATCTGTTAACTAGAAATTTTAGAGGAGTATCGTCAAACTCCAACAATCTTTGGGGTCAGAAATGCATAGGTACAATGCAATGGTAATATATAGCAATCAGAACTGATTCCTGAAAACATGAAATCCCTTTGAGATTACTTTGTTAAAGGCCAACTCCACTCAAGTAGTGGAGTTGGTCTAATATTTCAGTTTTGGGGGACTGCTGGCAAAAATGTGGCTAGTGCTGGGCAGGTACCCCACATTTGTTGGTGGGTGCCCCGATTGCCCACTTTTTTTTTGTTTATTATGACACTTATGCAGCTGTCAGCTCCTGTCCCAACCACCAGCCTGTCAGACCTGTAGTTGAGGGGTGTGCTCTGAAAACTCCTCCTTGTCTTCATGCTACAGATCACACAGGTGGTGCCTTCCAGTATGTGGGGACAGAAGCCAGCAAGTGCATAACTGACATATGGAAAGACATTGTAGGTGGTCACAGCATGGGGACCCAGGCCCACCAGCAGATGCAGTGCAGTGGTTCATTGGGTACATTTCAAGGAGGGGTGCAGTTTTGTCCTGGTGGGTGTGTGTGGGGGGGATTGTATAGGGAAGATGGAAAAATGTTTTTGGGAGGCACTCTCTGCCTTCTTTACTCTTGACCCCTACACTGTATGTGTTACATGCTACTGGTCCCAGCACTCTGTACATTACTTACTCCTGACCCCTGCATCCTGTGTGTTATGTCTTCCTGACTCCTGCCCTCTGCGCTCTGTGTTACCTACTCCTGAACCCATGCATTACTTATTCTTGACCCAGAGCATAGTAGGCTTAGGTTTCATTTAACCATACTCCATTAAGCTCCTCCCATGAAATTAGGCCACACCCACAAGTTTCAGCAGAGTACTACACCATAGCTCTCCTCAGGGTGCTGAAGGGTACTCCAGGACTTTCACACCTGTAGAAATGCTTCTGACTGTTGGCAAACTGAATGACATGCTAACATTTTAGGTGTATCAAGATATCTACTGGCATCATCTCAAAACCAGAATTTTAGAGTGTTGCTGTCACATAGTTTTTGGTGGATTATTTGTAATGTGGAATAAATGCAATAGGGAGTATATGGTATACACAAGAACGTAATATGCTTTTATGAGGAGGAGGTTAAAGACCAACTACTTTAGCAGTGCGAATCAGCAGCACCAACCAAAGCTGAAAAGGCATTTTTTGGAAAGAGTTGTCATTTTAAGAGTGATATACAGTTTGTCTGCTAACAGAAAGCTGTGTTGGAATAAAAATTATACATACAAAAGTTGATTCTTTTATACTCACAGCAATTTGGTTTTGTGAATGAGCTTCCATCATATTCCATTGTATTAGTAAATTTTTGGTGTCAGAGGAAGCAAGGTTATATGCACAGTTGAGATTGACACTATTTCCTGCAGTCACATTGATCACTGGGTTTGGTATTGTCACTGTTACGCAGTGGGCCAAGCCTATAGAGAGATAACGTGTTAGGTATAATCAAGCCAGATTAATTGCTTTAAAGCTCTTATCTATCCTGCAATGTAGATCATCATTTGTCACATATGTATTTGTCTAAAACCAATTAGTCATTTAAATACTGATCTCAAGTGTTACAGAATACACAAAAAACTGACAGTACATTGAAGGGTTTATATCTTAGCAGATAAGATATTGCTACCATTTTTGAGAAGTAACGTATGTTGTACTAATCCTAAAGTAGTCACAGCTGCTTTTACAAAAGTCTGTATTATACGTAAATCCCACATTTAATATCTAATAAAACAAAGCTATATGTCATAAAACATTTATATACAGACATTTTTTTCATACATACTATGTATGTTATTTCATACATCCTGAGTTACAGAAGCATGGAAGTGGTCAACACCACATGTAGCACTGACATTTCTCTAGGAATGCAATGGTCACAGTGTCCATTTTAGAGCTCCTTACTACACATGCATGACAGTGATTCTAAATCATTACTCGGTTCCTCACATCCTTTAATCTAACACAATATTATTTTTTGGAAGAACATTAGAGACCAAGCACTAATTTGAAATCCCACTACTCGACAGAGTATAGAATTTAATAAAGTGCTTTGTTTTTTCTGTTGAAAATTCTCTTTTTGGCTAATATCGTTTTTTAAGTTCTAAGTTCTAAATCACACTATCAATTTTGGGAAACCCCCTCTACCGCCTTAGATGTCAGACCCCCTTAGTTAGACCCCCCCACCAGCAATTAATTGGCTTTGTGGGTCTAAACGCAAAGAATTATTTAATAAAGATTAACTTCCGGATTCTGCTGTCAAAAAATAGTTTTGACCAGGTTAACCTTTTGTGCCATTATTGTAGTTTCTTTAGTATTGCTGTGTACAACCCACAAAAAGCTGCTTTTAAAGCTTGTTACATACATATAAGTATGCACGGGTATGAATACATTGGCCGTACAAGAATTTTTTAAGCAGCCGGTAACAAACTTCTCTAAAGCCTGCAATATGGTTAAGACTCAGTTGGGAGTGATCTAGTAATTCTGCATACTAGTCAAATCCACATCAAAAGAGCATCCAAAGATTTTGTATATATCTTTTGAATTTTCTTCAGATTCTATCAAAGCTGTAGTTATTATTACCTGTAAAGCTCAATAGCAGGAACAGTATCCTGAGATAGAATGAATGCATGGCGTCAAGATGCATAGACTGTGAAGTACCAGGTGCTTTCGTGGTTTAGCTTGAATCGTTTGTGACTTCTACTCACAGTTTCCATTTATCACTGAGCATCAATAAATCAACAAGGGCTTTTTCACACACAGGTTTTATCAAGCACACTCCCCAGACATCTCCCAATATGGCTCTGTGGGTATTTGTGTTTTCAGTTGAACTATATATCTGGGTGTGTGCACCTGATACATTTGTAATCTGTATTAACCCGTCTTTTCTGGAAGGGAATTACACACTCATTGAATTATATATGAATGACTAATTGCATAATGCTAGTATGAATTAGTATGCAACGTTGGTGGTTGTCCACAGCTGGATTTAATGGTTTATCAACAAAGCATCATTTTATAGAGTGATTCTAAATGTGAAAGTCACATCTGCCTACCCAAAAGTCCACCCAAAAGCAGAATTTTGATTACAGATGGCTTCTTAAATTTCTTGGATACACCAACAGTGAGATCACCCTGCTGCTGTGTACCTTCAAGCTTTAATAGTATCCACCTACAGTACCTTTGCATAGTCCTAACATTCTGTAATCCAACAGTTACAGTGAAACCATCTTTTAACATTCACAGTAGTTATGCAGACCCAGGAACTAAAGTACGAAGGCCTTACCGATAAAAGAACATCACAATGCTAAAAAGAATACCTAAGAATAGAGTTTTATTGGGTACTAAAAACATATTTCATTTGTTCTTTTAAAATGACCTTCAATGATTTCAAAGACATATGAGCAGTGCATATAATTCTGTTGCTGAAGCTATTTACAATGCTAGTGTAAGTGATTATAGAAAATGTTCTGCTTTGCCACAATTTTATTCAATTACATAAAGTGAAGGAAATAAATATTTGATCCCCTGCTGATTTTGAATGCTTGCTGAAATGACCCAAAACACATGGCCAAGGCAACAAAGGAGTGGCTCAAGAAGAATCACATTAGGGTCCTGAAGTGGCCCAGCCAGTCTGCAGACCTTAATCTGATTGAAAATCTGTGGAGGGAGCTGAAAGTTCGAGTTGCCAAACATCAGCCACCAAACCTTAATGACTTGGAGAGGATCTGCCAAGAGGAGTGGACCAAAATCCCTCCTGAGATGATGGCAAACCTGGTGGCCAACTACAGGAAACGTCTGACCTCTGTGATTGCCAACAAGGGATTTGCCACCAAGTACCAAGTCATGTTTTATGAAGGGGATCAAATACTTATTTCCCTCATGAACATACAAATCAGTGCAGAATTTGTTAGACATGCATTTCTTTAGAATTTTTTGTTGCCATTCTGTGTCTCAGTATTACAATACACCTACCATTCGATTTTTAGACTGATCATTTCTTTGTGAGTGAGCAAACGTTCAAAATCTGCTGGGGATAAAATACTTATTTCCTTCACTGTATGGCAAGTCATAGCTTTTGTACCTGTTCACTTATTTAAAAATGTGTGCACGGGAAATTAAGGTTCATTGTTATGGTACAAGTATACATGCAAATACAGGGTCATAACTGGACAACATACTTCCATTGTATACAAGCTTTGCCCCTTCTGTCATGTAGATATTTTAGTAAAAATCTGTTCTACAATGTGCTGTGAGGCAGCATGCTGCCTTCTTTAAATAACTTATATAAAACAACTTTTCAATCATACAGACCACTAAACTAAGGAAAGGAGAAATGGTTTCATAGTCCTTGAAGCATAATGAGTCTTCTGATTCCATTTGACATTTGTCTCTGTCCTCTGTGCTTCTCTTCCCATTATAGTTATCCTGTTGATTTTAGCACCAAAAAGAATATTTTGAGGATTAATGATGCCCCCCATCCCATGAGAGGGTATGTTTATTACAAGGAATTAAACCTCTTTAAAACGTATTTGATTTGGTAAAATATCCACTACCACAGGCAACTATGGCCAATGTTGTCTCATATGGATAAATATGTCCTTCTTGATGCCACAAAGCATTCAGACCAAGTCTTTGGTTCAAATTAGTTTCATACAACTAGGTGTGCTATCTGAAAATGAGAAATAAACTTCTGTTTTGTTGGATTGGTGCTGGCAGTGGTGTTTTTGAAATCCCTCTATTCCCTTTATACGTACTGTTTTGATCAGTAATACACTGCACAGTTAATCCTTTCTTACATGAAGAATGCCTTACTATACTGATGGTTCAATTGTCCTGCAAACCCAATCAATGCTCTTTGATAAGTTCTTTGCATAAAAAGATGATTTGTCAGATGTTTATGTTGACTCTGGATACATTTTGGCATATGAATTAGATCCTCTAAAACATCTTTTGTTTCTCAGACTAAATATACATGTGCAATATATGAACACCTGGAGTACCACATTCTATGTAAGAGGGTGGCTTTGTGAACCTGTAAGTCCACATTAGATATTTACAACTTTAGCCATTGTTATACTTACAGTATTTAAGGAACTGGCAGTGCACATTCACTTCTTGTGGGTATCAACCTATCCTCTCTCCACATGTCCAGCTTTCATGACAATGGTTTTTTTTCGCTCAGTTTTGGGAGTTTCATATGTTTTAAAGGTGGCATGTCTTTGCGTGTGGTTTTATACAACGGTTTTACTCATTTATGTAGGGAAATAAGTACTCCATTTTCTTTGTCTGGTAACTGTGAAAAAAAGGAGAAGCTGAAAAGCTTATTACTATTCTTAATCACAGAAGTTGACATTTCAGAAAGATATTGTGTTGCTGGATGGGTTTTACCTCATCTTCAGAGTAAGGAGATGCCCCTCCACTGGAGATTATTAAGGTGGACTTTAGGCCTTGGGATCTGTGGATGTTCCTTGGGAATCTCCCCCCCTTTTTTTTTTGTCCCAGGCTTATCTTTATAGCCCTTTTTGTATCACACTAGTCTGACTGTGAAAATTTGCAGGCGGATACAGGTTTACTAATACATAATGATCCTCTGCCGTCATTTTTGGAACCAATTTCTGATAATGGATTGTTAGTTAAGAGAGTTTGCTGATGCTATCCTCAATCTTTATTGTCGAAAAAAATTTGTCCTCAAAAGGAGAATTTTAAAAATTAGCTTCAGAATGAATTCTCAGACATTCATATTTCTATACATTCTGCCATTTCTTCTAATGAAATACATTAAAGCTTCTTAATGCTTGTAATATGGGTCATTAGGATAAATGTGCAGACAGAATTTTTGCAGGTGGGAGTAGATTGACTCATTCTGTATTAGGAGGGAAAATTGTTATCCAAAGATGTTTGTTAATGGTCAGTACCAGGAGCTGTCTGACTCAGTGAGCAGTTTCAGAGAGAAAATCTGATATTTGTGTTACTGTGTAAGCAAAGGTGTGAGAGATACCATGCCAGAAAAATCCTGATTACCTGAAGCTGAAAACAATATTCATACTAATATGCTACATATAAATTACATACAGAACAGGAACAAATTTAAAGTTCCATTTGACATAGAAATAAAAAGGACCCAACTATTGCAGTCTATAGAATTTTGTTCTTTTCAACTGAATTCAACGAGTATATTTATAAAGCCGCACCAAACATCACCATATGTTCACTGCAGGTAAATCTTCATGTTGCATATTTTTAAAGCACAGTGATTAGTTCACCACCAGTGAATATTTGTTGGAAGTCACTGTAGTGCTACCCCCACAGGGACCACTGGTAATAGCTGGTTCTTCCTTAAAAGTACTGAAGCTGCCCACCACCACAAGAACCAGTCCATACACTTCAACTCCAAGAACTCAGTCTAGGGCAGGGGTACTGAATTAAAATTCACAAAGGTTCAAATC